CCCCCCCCGTGTTGATAGAAATCAACACGACCCCACGGTTTGATGATTGATAGGTACTGTCTTTCATTTTGACACACAGAACAATGTTATAATAAACATACATACTGTATGTTAAATGGATACTGTATATCCGCCTTCTTTCATTTATCTTTCCATTCCCACAACAATATACATAAAGAAATGGCTTATTTTGGACATAGTTCGAATGGTGATTAATCATGATTAATTAATTTTTAAGCTGTGATTAATCTGATTTAACATTTTTAATCGTTTGACAGCCCTAGTTAAAATAAACAATTTTCAGTGGTCTTTTTTTTTTGGTCATGGAAAATTAGCTAAAGGTCATTGAGAAGTCATTGAAAATCATTGGTGAAAAAGTGTATGAACCCTGACTCTTAAAAACAGTTGCTATACCTCCACCTCGGCCTGACGTCCACAGAGAGTTAAAATAGCAGCAATGCTGCGGTACAAGTTCGGTAAACGCGCTGGACTCACCAATACTGAGCCATGTCTCAGTCACGCAGAGGAAGTCCAAACCCTTGGAAGTGAAGAAATCCTTTTTGACAAAAGTCTTGTTTGTCAGCAATCTTGCGTTAATCAAGCCAAACCTGGCAGGGGCTGGCAGATCGGCGGCATTAGAGATCCGGGGAGCCTGACACAGAGACCTCAGGTTATGCAGATTAACCCCGCGGGGACGAGGGGAGCAGGTCCCGTGGTGCAGGAATGCCTCATCCGGGCCGACGACAACTACCAGCCAGGCGTCAACTTTTATACAATGTCAATTTCTGGATTGTTTTGTGTAGATATTCTTACACACTGTTAAAATAAACCTACAATTATACATTGTTGTATAATGTTGTGGGCAAATTTACTAAATCTGCAAGGGATCAAATACTTTTTTCCTCCACTGTATCTAGTCCATAAGATCTTAAGCACTCATATTTTTGGATGTCATCACTAGAAATGTCAATTGTTTGCCGGCCAAAATGACTGCCACCCTCCGGCAAAACTAATGCATTAGAGCGAAGTGGAAAATGATAGTTCCTTCATGTCTTAAAGCTGCGGAGTCATATATTGAGCCCCAAATAACCAGAGTTACGGTTTCTTTACTTCCTCTACAGAAATAAGGACAGTAAAAGAAACTGATTCAGAAATCACAGTTTCAGTGTAAGCCTGCTGCCTGCCACTCGTCCCCCGGCAGACTGACCGGACATCCCCCCCATAATTATTCTGAGTTCTGTAATTATACAGTTTTTGACAAACAGAAATATAGTTTTTTTTTGGCACCACCTTTAAGATCTTACTGTGAAAATCTGCACTTTGGTATCAGGGCGCACACCGAAAATAAGAGGGCACAGCGCGTCTGTTATCCGGTTTAACCACGTCTTGGTTGTAGGGGTATGGATAATAGAAATATTTGTAACGAATTGGCTATAGGACACCATGAACTGATAAATGATTGTTTCTCTGTCCATCAGGCTCAGAACCGTGCTGCTTACTACTCTGCCAACCAGCTGGCCCAACTCCGCCCCAGCCCCCGCTGGGCAACTCAAGGAGTACGTCCTCAGCGTAAGTAAAAAAATGTTCACTCTTTTTGTCACTTCAATGTTATCGGATTGTGAAGCGATGCTTTAATTGAATAAATGGTACCTGGCTCTCATAAACATTGAAAGAGCTGAATTTTCAGCCCTTCAGTGTGAACGTTTTAATATCGTTTCCTCTTCTTTCAGACTTCCAAAATATGCCCAATGCTATGCGGCCCTCAGCTCCCAGGCCCCAAACCTTCAACACCATCCGTCCCACCACCACACCCAACACACAGGTTCCGCGCATGATGGCTTCCCAGCGTATGCGTAAGTATTTCATATTTCAGAAAATACAATCCAAAGCTATATTTTGTCAAGTTGTCCTTGCGAGTTAATAACTTGAAGCAGGTTTGATAAAGGGACCTTTTCACTTTCCTCAGCCACACAGGCCCTCAGCCAACGCCCTGCCGGATCTTCAGCAACTGCTGCCCCAGTGCGCGCCATGCCCCAGTACAAATATGCTGCTGGTGTGCGAAACCCCCAGCAGCACATGGCCTCCCAGCCACAGGTCCCCATTCAGCAGGTAGATTCCATTCCACTTGTGCTTTTCAACTTAACTAGCTGATGCCCAAGAAGAAAAAATAGAAGACCATCTGCATTTATTTACCTTTTCTGTTTAATCAGTTTTAAACAAGAACATAAGGAACGTTCACACCGGAGTACTTTGACCTGTACTTTTCCCGTTTTAGAATTTTGCGTTCACACCAAAAAGAGTACTTAGTTCCGAGAACTTTTACCCCCATTTTTAGTGCCTGCTATAGAGGTAGTACTATCCTGGGGAGAAAAAAGTACCAATTTCTATTGGCTGGGCGAATTGCAAACCACGCCCCGTAAAACTCTGAAAAGTTTTGTGAAGCCGCCATTGTATTTGCTGACATTAGCATTATTAGCATTAGCCCCGTGCACCAACGGAGAGAGAATAAGTTATGGCAACACAAAAAAAAACATGGGAGCGGTGGAGTGATGAGGAGGTGTCGGCGTTCTGGCGATTTACTCGGAAGGCTTCATTAGAAGCTGCTGCAACAGTCCCCAACTCCGGGCTCTTCCGGCCGGGAACTTCGGGTGGCAGTATACGCCCAAAGCAGAAGAAGAAGAAGTGACGTCAGAGGCTACATTTGTGTAATCTTCCCTCAGGGAACTTATTCCGGTGTGAACGCGATCTGTACTTAGTTCCATGGGGTCACTAAGTGCTGGGCACTAAGTGCTGGGCACTAAGTACGGCAAAGTACTTGGTGTGAAAGCGGCTATAGTGTCTAAAAACCATATCATGAAAATGTTTCGTTTATGCCAAATTGTAAGCAGCACTTTTCAAGAACCAAATCATTCATTTTGTTTTCCTTCTTTAGCCTGCTGTCCATGTCCAAGGACAGGAGCCACTGACGGCCTCCATGCTGGCCGCGGCACCTCCTCAGGAACAGAAGCAAATGCTGGGTAAGTAAATTATCTGCTCAAAGAAACTAACAAACAGAATTGCGCATAAGTCATTTGATAAGGATTTAAGGCTGGTTTTACACATTTTTGAAATAGTTGTTGACTGTTCTTCTTTAGGTGAGCGTCTGTTCCCCCTGATCCAGAACATGCACCCCAGTTTGGCTGGCAAGATCACCGGTATGCTGCTGGAGATCGACAACTCTGAACTTCTCCACATGCTGGAGTCACCTGAGTCGCTGCGCTCAAAGGTCAGATAGTGACTAAGCTATAAAATGTTAGCAGGGCATAATGATTTTATCACTCATCCCCTTTCCCACCAAAGCTTGAAGCTAGTGCCCGTTATGACCCAGTTCTTCCTGTCTCCACCGCAGCTTGAAGAACCGAATATGTCAGGCTTATGTTGGAGGCTTGGTCAGATTAATTTTAGCAATAACAGTTTATGGCGAGTACGGTGAACAGAATAAAGTTGTTACAAACCGTACCACTCAGATTGCAGAGTGACTAAGACGCGACCTCACACATATATATTAAGTCAGGCAAGACTTATTTGATATTGTTGTTTTTTTTACCTTAATTATAATGACTTGGCATCAGTTTGATGTTGTTTTTATTATAGCAGCTATCGGGTGTAAACAATACATGGGCTACACATGTTGCCATGTCAGATTATCGCAATTAAAATCGTAGTGTAAAATATGCCTGTAGAAAAGGGCTTATTCCACAATACGATAGTGTGGGGGAAACTTCTGAAGCAATAGGAGTCAGGACTCGGAGAGACACGAGGAGAGCTGGAGCTTTGATGGCAAACACTGACGGTTTATTTGGAGCTTCGGCCGGAGAATTTACAAGACATGTCAAGAGTCAGAGGTTCTGACTGCACGGTAGAGTTGCCACAATCAATTCTGAAGAACTCTTCTGTAGTTCCAGGTTTGAACTAATTTGGCGTGTAATAATCAACATTCTTTATCAGTGAGACAAAACAAATATGGACCCTGAATCTAACTAGAGCTCTCGTCCATAGAAAATAATGTGCGCCAGGGAACCTACGTTCCTAAAAAGAAGGGCTTCTAGATGTCCCTGAACAATAAACTATCTCATGTCAACTTGTGCTTTGTCATAAGCTGGCAACAACAATGCGCCCAAGCTGCCCCTCCTTTAGAGAGATAGCAGCAATACCCAAGGCCGTAGACCTTTGCCATGGGAAAGGAGACGGTGAAAAGAGAAAATGATGAGCTGTGTCAAGGGTTGAATACCTAAGCAAATTATTCCCCAACAGATGGCAACAAGTAGTCAAGATAGTCAGACAAGCTTTGGTGGCTATGCTTACATCACCCATCTCATACCAGAGAAACTTTAATAAAGGCATTGTGATGCCAGACAGCGTCCATTCAGACTAGAACACGCTGACAGGCAGTCCACCATTGTTGTTGTGAGGGGCGCTGCTTGGAAAATCTGCAACTTTAATGGTGATGTCATGGCCTGGCACCACTTGGGAAATGGGCGGTGGAAAAATAACTGGTTCCTAAACTGCAAACTAGTTCCGAACTAAAAAAGCACTAGCACCGATCTAGAACTGGAACCTGTTTGGTCGGTATCTGCATTGTTTCTCTTGACCTGAGCTTTGTTGCTAGAAGCATTTTCAGAAGGGAGGACTTGTTGATGGACTGATGCCATAACTTGATAACGGATTTAATGGTAACCGTGGATTTGCAGCAGTTCACAAAGTGTTTTGCTCGGCAGTGGCTCAGTCAGTAGGGGCTTGGACTGTGAGCTGTAGGGTCGCCGGTTCAAGTCCCCGACCAGACCTAAATATTGAGTGTGGACTGGTACCTCCTGGGCCCTGCCGTGGTACCCTTGAGCAAGGCACCGGACATCCCCCTTCCTCCCTCACCCCCATTGCTCCCCGGGCGCTATACAATAGCTTCCCACTGCTCCTAGTACTAGGATGGGTTAAATTACTAACAAAGCACTCATATACTAAATATTTTACTCATATACTAACTATTGCACTTATATACTAACAAAGCACTTATATACTAACCAAGCACTTACATACTAACAAAGCACTTATATACTAACTAAGCACTTACATACTAACAAAGCACTTACATACTAACAAAGCACTTATATACTAACAAAGGACTGGCTTATCTAAAGCCAGTTGAGTAGCACTTAAAATGGTTTGGCTCTATGAAACCTAATGTACTTATATGATTCTGTTTTCCTCAAGTTTGTATCTTCTTGGTCGAATGCACTTATTGTAAGTCGCTTTGGATAAAACCGTCAGCTAAATGTAATGTCATGTAAATGCAGAGGCAACATTTCACTGTGTGGTATGTGCTTTGCATGTGTGACCATTAAAGAGGGTTTCATCCCTCCGATTCTATCTATCTATCTGTTGTTTTAGGTGGATGAGGCTGTTGCTGTGCTGCAGGCCCACCAGGCCAAGGAAGCTGCTCAGAAGTCAACCAGCCCCGCTGGTGTCCCCAGTGTCTAAGGTGTGTAACATTTTGAAGTAAAGATGACTCGGATGAAATTATACAGTATATAAATAATGAATAAATGAACTACAGAATAAGCATCAACATTTTTGGTATTTTTGTCTTGCAGATTGAAACCTGCTTCACCGATGGAAAAAGAGAAAAAAATATTAAACATTGAAAAACCTAAAACTCTGAAAACATCGCAAAATGATAAATTATTTCTTAAAAAAATGAAGAAAACAATTAATCTGCCAGGTCTATAGATGGTTCGACTAGACCTTGATAATAAACAAAAATGTGTTGAAAAAAATAGCAAAATAGAAAACAAATTGAGATTATACGTTCTGAATGCATTCCTCTGTTTTATGTCATGTTATTGTGTCAGTGCTCAGAATATCAGCCATGTTCAGGTGATAGCTGAGCACCATGAAGGGTGATTTGTATTGTAAACTACTGGCTGTAATAAATTCTCATTCAAAATGCATGCTTTTGTTTAATTCCTCAGTTAATGTCCCAATTAATTTTCACATTTTGTAGCTGTCATTGTAATTGGATAAATATTGATGCCAGTTTTGATAATTTCATGTATGACAGAACAGATTCGGAAGCTGTTTTCCTGAGTTGGTGTTTGTAGCTGCAGGTTAATGTTCATACTGTATAGTGGTCCTGCCTATGGGAAAGACGGTATTGTTTTCTTCCACCAGGTGTCCCTGTTTTCTTCTCACGTCACCTGCAATTTTGGTGCATGTACTGATGGTAACTCATTAGCACTTTATTTACAATCATAGCCTTGTGCATCTGTTAAAAATGTTCTTGGAATAGCCACTAAGGCATCCTATACAGCAGTTGGAAGTCTATAGGCTTTTTTATGTATTGCTTACTGTGGACAGATCCCAATGGTAAGTGGCTACATTGTTTACAGCTGTCTAATTAGTGCAACTCATATCCCCACACAAAGTGGAAAAGCTTTAAGTGGCAACAGGTCCAAACGTTTAACATTGATTTGGATGACATGGATTTTCACATTGCAAAATCCACCAACTTTTCTACTGTGATACAAAATAGATTTTTGAGATGCTGCTCCAAATTTAATTAATTCAGAGTTGTATGGTATTTTCTTTTAAAGAAAAGGGCATTGACTTGTGAATGGAAGTGTATGTGCATTCCATCACACGATCAGGAAAGGCCCTCTGTGTGCATCATAGTGTCTCTCTCAGCCTCTACAGCTTTCCCCACTGAGCCCATTCTGTTAACTTTCCTGCACTTAAAATAGTACATCGTTATATATTAATAATTGTCAAATGACAGGCTTTGGGATTAACAGATCATGTCACAGGATCAGGATACAAAAAAAGACGACTATACTCCCCAGTTGCATAAAAAGAAATAACCTGATCAGATTATTACTGATGTTTATAAAAATTACTAACAGTATAACTATTTTGCAATACAAGGCTAAAGTAAAGAGTTCGATGACCTGTCTGTTGTTTTTAACTTACATTCTTTATTTCAAATATCTTTAAGTGCAGCAGATGATTTGTTAAACCGAAATACTTTATTCATTCATTCAACTAAAACAGCATTTGTAAACTATGCTATTCTGTAGAGCCTATCATTTAAGAGGACTTGTTTTTGGTAATAAATATCTTGTAAAGATATTGCCATTTTATGTATATTTATTTTCTTATTTGCATTGCATTTGATAATGAGGTCATTCAGAAGAATTGGAAAGTAACCAGTTTACATTGCTTATATATTGTGATACTGAGATTATGTACTGATAACTTTTTTAATTTAATGAGTCATTGTAATGAAAGTAACCCTCCCAACCCGGTCAAAATGCCATTTACAGTAATCACATGTTTTCTCCTTTAAACAAAGGGGAACTTGGACAATCTCTTGGAACTTAATAATTACGAAAGTGTCAAGAGGATGGAAGTTACTGATGTGTTTACACAGATTTACCCATGTAAAAAGCCTTTCGAATGCTGTGATGTGTTTTGCTGCCACATCTGACACACATTTTCCCCTATGTTTTTTACCCCAACATTTATAACGTGGACCTTCTACATTTTCATTCTTTATTCAGGTAGGGTAAGAACAGGAAGTTAATCATGGAGACATCTCAGGGTGGAATCGTCCTTGGTGTTGCTTCTCTTCCACTTCATTTGGAACGTATTTTACATGGTGTTCTTCTATCACAGACTCTTCCTTCACACTGCAGCACCAATACTCCCAGGCAAAAGATCAGCCCTTGTTTAAGCTGGACCAGACTGTTAACATATTTCAGAACATGACTGACCCAAAACAATTATACATTTTATAGGATTGTTATGTCATGTTTATTTATCTGTTTATCATTACAAAGGGGGGATTTTGAATACAAATATTTATTTTTCCACATTTTATAAAGCATAATCTGGTCCCTTTGCTTTATTTTGTGTATTATTATGATATGGAGGGAGCTTCTGTGTAGCGTAGGATTTAGAGTTGTGTACATACATACACACTTAGGTGTGTACGCTTATCCTCGATTGAACTGATTTGAACTGTACGTTTATATTTGTAATGTCAAATAATGAATTAAGTAACACAGTTATAGCCAACAGAAAATAAAATGTTGGAAAACATACATTGGGAATAGAGAAGAGGAGTGATCATTTTCATTTATGGTAGTTATATTAAATGAAATATGAATAATGTTTTGCAGATTTGATATGTCTCATGTTTAACATGTTAACATTTTTACAGAAGCCAAAGTGTGGTGCTGATCTTGAACCTACACTACTTGAAACCTTGGTCCAAATCTCGCGATGCGATTTGAATATCTGGGCTAGAACGAGAACAGTAAACAACAGAGGGAGCTCCGTAGGAGCTGTTGTCGCTCGAAACGGAGCGGATATGGATAGGTGGGACCGAACACAGCAGGAAAATAAGTGCTAGTAGCAGTGGGGAAGTCCTTCACAGCACTGCGCCGGGAGGGACCACTCGTTTCTTAACTTGAATCGTTTTTGGAAGGCAGGACGATTTCCCTAGTCTTCGTTACTGTCTGCGGAACAAGTGTCTCTAGCAACAGACGGTATGTTCTCATCGTTTCTAGCTAACCGCTAACCTTGCTAACCAGCAGCTAAAGCTCGTTGTGTGTGCTAGTTAGCTGGCTAGTGTTCTGGTCATCGTCAGTAAGGCAAGCTGAGACCCGTAATACCTTTTCTAGTGGCTCATATATTTATTCTCCTGAAGTCATGTGCATATTTCCCATTCTGGACACATGTACCAGATGGTGATCATTTGTGAGCCAATGAACTATGTAGCTAAGCTAGCTTTCATTCTAACGTTATAGAGAAGTCGCAGACAAGGAACAGTTAAGCACTGAACGCCAGCTGCTTACCAATATATGATCGTTACACTTTAGTTGATAGTCAATTAAAGATGTTGAGTTAAGCAGCAAGTTGCTGCAGCAGTGTGTTAGACTTAGGCAACAAGGTGGATTTACCTAAGACTGCCATGACAAGATAAAAACTGAGCAGAGGAACAGTTTTGGTTTTGTTTCCGTCACACTGTCACGGGTATCGTTGTTACAAGTACATTTGATTGAATTCTCAGGTGGGTAGCTACTAGACTCTGTTTTGTCTGTATTCCTCTATGTTGTGGGGTTCCTCAGGTGACATGCAGCTGACCATGTCACAAACGTTGATGCTTCTTCTTCTTCTTGTAATATGTGCCAATCTGAGATGAAAATGGAGACCTTCCATCAGTTAAGATCAAAAGCACGTTTCAACCATATACAGTCTATGGTTTCAACAGATATAAAGTCTAACTAATCATGTTACAGACAGTTATTGTGCAATTAATCAACAAATGCTCAAACCTGGAAGGAAAGTTTTACCGGCCCCACGAGGACGCATATGGCAAAACGCATAGGATTAACGCAATCGCAAAAAAGCTTCCTTCCACACGCAATATTCACCGGATAGTGTCTGTCCACACGAGACATCTCCGTTTAGCTCCAACCGCTGGAGAAGCTGCAGTACATATGCAGGAGCCTGTACGTGGCGCTGTAACGGTACGTCCACACAGCAGCTTAGAAAAAAATCTTCCAACGCTTCTCTGCG